TCGCGATAAGGAAAGAGACAAGTGTACTAAGGTGTGATGGTGACCCCTGTTAGAAAAGTAGGCTGAGATCAAGGGGGGGGGGGGGTGAATTGATCTTTGAAAGATTTTCGCAATTTACAGATTATCTATTTCAAAGATTAGGAAATCTGACCAGTTCTTGAATCACACACAACAAGCAATCATAATAAATGCAGTCACAGAATTAAAGAAGAGAAAGGTTTAGAAAAATACAACCAAGGTTTATACTGGTTCACCCAATCCCAGGGCTACGTCCAGTTTCCAGCCAAATTCCAGCTGGGTTCCACTAGATTGAACGTTTTACAGATTATAGCTTTAATCTCACACTCAATCTACCACAAGAACCAAAATTCTAGTTCCTGCACCTAAACCTTCACCAAGAACCAAATTCCAGTTCTTGACCAACCCTGCAGCCAAATTCCAGCTACAGAAACCAGTGCCCACAATTCCAGGCACCCACAATACAGTAAAGAAAGTAAAGAAACAAATAGAAGAAACTTAGAACGCTCAAACCAGATTTATGCAGTTCTGCAGTATGTGTTTCTTATCCAAAATAATGCAATTTTTCCTCAAGAAAGAACTTCAATGAACTTCACAGAACTAGCGCGATTCTCTCTTGAAAGTAGCACTTATGATTGCTTGATTGATTGCTAAAAGATGATTTTTAAAAAGTTCAAGCAACTCTGTTTATATAGAAGATTTTCAAAACTGCTGGTTGATTTAATCTGTTAAAATAATCTTTTAATCTGTTAAAAGTCTTGTTTTAATCTGTTAAAACTTCTTTTAATCTGTTAAAATGTTCTTGATTATTTTCCAGATGTGTTTTAACTGATACGACAATGTTTATATCAATTAAAACTCTTTGTAAAAAATCTTCCAAACTGTTTTAATCGATTGTTTCGTCTTTCAATCGATTAAAATACTGCAAAACATTCTTATAAACTTTTCTAAGTGATTTTAACTGATAACAATCTGTTTTAATCGATTAAAACACTTTGAAAAAAGTTCATTTAGTTATTTTAATCGATTGAAACGTATTTTAATCGATTATAATTCAGCCAAAAGATTTCATAAAACTTTCTAAGTTATTTTAACTGATAGCAAACATGTTTTAATCGATTAAAATGTTCTGAAAAAAACTCTTTGTTGTTTTAATCGATTATTTCGCATTTGTATCGATTAAAATACTGATAGAACAACTTTCAAAACACTCTAAGTTGTTTTAATCGATTATTTCGAGTTTGTATTGATTAAAATTCTGCAGTAACACTTTTCAAAAAATTCTAAGTCATTTTAATCGATTATATCAATTCTATATCGCTTAAAATATCGCAGTAAGGTTTTCAAAAATCCTTCTAATGAAAATAATCGATTATTTCGAAAACATATCAGTTAAAAACCTGTTACAAAAGTGTTAAGAACATTTTAGTTGATAAAGCTTATATGTTATTAGTTAAAATAGCTAATTAAAAACATTTTATCAAAATACTTTGTTTTTTACCGTTTAAACATTTTTTAGAGGCAATTGCAAAATCTTTTAAATGAAGAAACCTCATGCAGCAGAGAGATAAAAATGATTATACCTAAGCAGAGATGCAAACTCACTAATCCTTCTACTCTTTTATCTAAGTGACCTTTGACTGCCACAAAGTAGCCTTTGACTTCATTTTTGACTTCATCAAATCAACAAGATCTTTGCCAAAGTAATTCAATAAGATCTTCATCACTTTCAGTCTCCCCCCTATTTGATGAAGACAAACACCTCTTTGAATAATAACTCTGCAGAAGAAGTCACTTGAATATATAGATTAGTGAGTAATCAAAATAAAACTAAATTTCCAATTGGGCCCTTATTACAACTTGCAATAAAACTAAACTAAAGCCCATTAATTGATTAATCCAAAACACAATTTGGTCAACCAATAATACTTATTGAAGAGTTTCATTTGCTTCCCTTGTTCTAGCCCTTATCATAGGTCATGTTCACATAATTCTCTCCCTCTTGAAAAGGATTTGTCCTTAAATCGGATTCGTCATCTACATTAAAAAGAGATAAGTCTAACAAATTAAATGTAGAACAAACATTATACTCACTTTTTATGGCTAAATAACTCTCCCTCACTTCAAGTGTTTTACTCTTCTTTTGATCACTCTTTTTCTTCTCAAGTGTTTCACTAACGCTTTTTTTTTTCTCTCTTTTCTTGAAAATAAATTTATCTCATTTTCTTTGTATCCTCCTCTGTCATCAATTTGATGTTCAAACCTTTAAACCGGGGCTCTGATACCAATTGATATGAATCACAATGGGTGATTTAGGATCTTTAAGGTTAGAACCTTGTAGGAAATTTAGGAATTTAGTGATAAGGTGGAAGGAAAGAATCACTCTTTCTAAGGAAGGCAACTCACAAAGGATGTGAAAGTCCTTTGATACAACCAAGTGTTCTTGAATCACTCAAGAACTTAGGAGAATCACTCTCACTAAGATAAAAGAGATAAACTCTAATATTTCTAAAAATAAAACTCAACTTGTTATTTCTGATAAAAATGGTTCAGCTTATAAAGAAGCTTTGGCATCAGAGTTACAAATATTCATTAAAGGAAAATAAATGCTAATAATGATTTATTAACCTAGGAATTGAAAACTACTTAATGATTGATTGTAACTGAAATTGTGGCATCCAAAAGTCAATTAGCTATGCACCCTCTTGGTCTCCCAAAGACTAATAACTAAATTTCCAATTGGGCCCTTATTACAACTTGCAATAAAACTAAACTAAAGCCCATTAATTGATTAATCCAAAACACAATTTGGTCAACCAACAATACTTGTTGAAGAACTTCATTTGCTTTCCTTGCTCTAGTCCTTATCATAGGTCATGTTCACATCAGTAAGACATATGATAGACAAGAGGAGTTGGGGATATTTGTGTCCTATGAGGCATATGTCAAGGAGATCCTGAACAAGTTTAAGATGATCGATTGCAATTCGGTATCAACCCCTATGGAACCAGGGACAAAACTTTCAAAATTTGAAGGAGGAGACCAAGTTGATCCAAGTAGATATCAGAACTTAGTTGGAAGTCTTCGTTACCTCAAAAGTACCAAACCTGATTTGTTGTTGATTGTCGGGATTGTTAATTGGTTCATGGAAAATCCAAGTTACTCTCATTGGAAAGCGATAAAGAGAATTTTAAGGTATATATGAGATACCTTGTCTCTCATACTATGGTACACAAGGTCAGACAATTATCCACTTGTTGGGTACTCGGACAATGACTGATGTGAAGATGTAGATGATCGGAAAAGTACATTAGGTATGTGTTCTTCATGGGTAACACAACATTTACTTGGCTTTCGAAGAAACAACCTATAGTAATGTTATCAACGTGTGAAGCCGAGTACGTAACAATATCGTGGTGTGTGTGTCATGTAGTGTGGCTAAAAAATTTACTAAACTCGATGGAGGAGAAACAACTTGGTGTAATCGTAATCCGAGTTGATAACAAGCCAACTATTGAACTAGTGAAGAATCCGATCAATCATGATAGGAGTAAGCACATTGATGTATGATTTCGCTTCATCAGAGAACATGTGAAGGAAGAGAATGTGGAGCTTGTACATGTGGCGAGTATAGATCAAGTTGTTGATATTTTATTGTGTTATTTGAGAACTGCAAGAGTTCAATCGGATGAAGGATGAAAAAAACTCAGGGTGCTCAGAAAGAAGAAGACACATAATCGACTAGACGAGAGTCGGAAGTTGGAATCACGCTGATCTCAAATTTTCTTTAATGAGGAGAACTAATTTTAGGCGGTTTGTTAGGTAAAATTAATAATAAGTTAATTAGCTTTAAAAGTTTTATTTAAATGTTTTGTAACTGTTAAAATTTTAGATAACAGATGATATTTTGGGTGATTATTGTTTTAATTCCTAATTATGATTAGAGATTTTTGATAAAATTAAATAAATCATTATATATTATTTAAGATATGAAAAAAATCAATAAAAATTAATTTCTAGTCCATTCTTTGTTATGATGAAGCACACTCTTATATTCCAATGTAAAAGCAGCGTAAGATTTAAACTATCAAATATTCTATTAACCATTTTTAGGTGTTTATAAAACATCTATACCAGTTAAAAAAAATAATAAAAAATAAGCAATGTTATTTCCAAGCCGTATAACAAACACTCACTTTTTTTTATATATAATTACAAATGAATACATGATGTAGTATACAAGTGACTCAGCTTTTCTCCCCTCAGAAATAAACAAACCTCAAAGGATGCAACAAAAGAAGAGAAAGAGAGAAGAGAGAGGCTACTTACCCCAATCTTCACTCTAACCGAAAAAAATGAAAGAAATGACAAAACTAGTGGCCCTAATTCTGTCTGTCTAGGAAACTAGTGCTATTTTACCTGGCACTGGAATCTTTTTTGGATCTCTCCAGCTTTGCAAGCCAGGTCCATGCTCACAAAATAAAAGTGACAGGGTGGCTTCACCTCACTAGCCTACACACACATATGCTCATCATCATCCTTTTTTCCCACAAAAGGTGATGATGGATACAACCCACCAAAAATTTGGGCTTACTTGGACAAAAGAAACATGAAAGAGAATGGCAAACTTCTGTTTTTGTCCAACATTGGATCAGACAGACCGCACCAGGATTCTCCCCTCTCCATCAGGGAACTCCCGCTGACTTTTTGTTAAAATTGAAGTGATGCATTCACTGGTGTCCTCTACTATATATGTACACCACAGTGGTGCTCATGCATGCTTCATTTGCAGTTTGTAGATCAACTCCCTTGCAACCAATCTACAGCATAATAAGTGCATAAATAAAGAGTAAGATTGTTTTTACCTAATTGTACCCATCATCGTGATTGTAAAAAACTTCAATATATATAATTTCAAGTAGAGCAAGATGATAATTGTTTTTACCTATCATCTCGTAGGCACATTTGAGCTTGTTGACTTCTTACACTGCAAGATCTCCCTTGTTCCTGACCCTGAGTTCAACATTCCTCAGATCACGAAGATGTTGTAAAATTTCTTGGAGAAGATCTAACCCTTTGTCCCCTTTTCTCAAAGAGCTGATACAATGCTTTAGAAACTCTCTATCTGCCTCCAGCACCTGTAGTCTCTCGTAGACATTATCCACTTCCTCTTCTAAATCAAGCTTTTTCTTGACAATGTTAACATTTTCAACTGAATTGATTTGCAAGTGGGGGAAATCTAACTCGTCTCCACTCAACTCCACATCTTCTGCTTCTGAACTCAGTGCATCAAAAAGTGGGAGAAGCCTCTTGGCTTTTGCACCCATGATTTTCCTCCCTTGATTATGCTTTCCATTTATTTCCTTTGCATGGCCATTTGAAAATCCATTTACCTGACCTTTGTGATCATCATGATGGTATCCGTTCCCATTTTCTTCACAAAGTTCTACTGATTTTGCATCATCTGAGCAGTGTTCTTCCTCATAATTCAATAAAACTAGCTTTCCTTCCAGTACCTTGAGCTGTTCTAGAATTTGTAACCTCTCTTCCTCAAAGTTTGCCAATGATTCCTCCAAATATAAGACCGCATCTACCGGGGTATTCTGGTTGCTGCATTCTTGATGACTATAAAACCCGTTTTCTTCCTTTGCTTCATGATTCAAGTCAATGGACAATCCATCACTATCATCAGCATTGCTACAGGAGGGAGACGAAGTTCTGCTTCTCATGCTACCATCTCTTCTTGACATCACCATCTTTTCTCTTACCTCATATTCATGAACTTTTTTCCTATATATTTCAAGCTCCTTTTCTAGGTCTTGCTTCTCTTTCTCCCTCTTCATCATGAGCTCATTCAATAGTTGCAAAGCCTCCTGGTCATACTCAGATTGTTCTTCCATCATTCTCTGATACTGCAAGGCTTCCATCTGCATTGCTGCTTTCTCTTCCTGAAGCCTATTTATCATCGCCATTGTCTGATTGGCTGCTATAGCAGATGCACTTCTCTCTTCTTCTAGTTCTGCATATAGAGTGCTCAAAGCTTTCCTTTCAGATTTTAATGCTGATTTTAACTTTTCCATGGTTACCTCTCCACATTCTATATCACTGATCACACTTCCATCCAATGACTCTTCTGTTCCTGATTCTTTCCGCTCAAGAAGTAGTAATTTCTTGTGTAGCTGATGTAGACTCTCCACAGAAGTGGGCGTGTCAGGAACTTTTTCTTCTTCATTCTCATTAAGCTCCAATAAAGATGGCAAATGGTTATTTACTGTTGGCATTCTCACTTCAAGTGACAAGGTTTTAAATTCTACAAACTCTTCACCTCTGTCATCACCTAGTTATAAATTGCAATTGAAAAATGTTGAATTATTAGAAAGTATTAAGGATGAACTTGAGGAAAAGGGAAGATACGAAGTTGAGGCTTACCACTATCTTTCACATTAAATCTGACTGTGCTAGTAGATGGATCTTCTTGAATTTGCTGATTTGTATCCAAAAGAACATCTTGGCTTTGATACTCATCCACTTGCTCCTGATCAGGAATTTCAGTCCCTATAGAGACTTCTGCTTCATATTCCTCACCTTGCATTTGTGATGAATCTTCAGATACTGCAGGAATTAAGAAAGCATTACAGATCATTGCATATAGAAAATCAAGAAGAAAAAAGGTATAAGAACTGAAAGGGCTTATTAAGGAGGAAAATAATTACAACCTTGAGAAACATCTGAACATTGTTCTGCATCTCGTCTTTCCATGTTTGCTTCAACAGTCTCATCCTTGGTCAAGTCATCAGCAGTCTGAAAATATCTCACTTCTTCACAATTCTGCTCCAAATTTTCTTGAAAAACCGATGACTGCCCTCTGGTCCTTAACTGAACTGATTCAGCCCCATTTGCCTTGGAGACATTTTGTTTCTCCTGGCATGAAAATTCTGCTACAATATCCCCAGAAATGTGCCAATTCTCAACAACTGGTTCAGCTTCGGCATCAGCACTCTTATCAAAGTCCAGAATAAAATCTTCACTACAGTTAAGTCCTTCACCTCCCACCTTATACCTGCTTTGGTTCCTATTTTCTGTTGCAGGGGAGTCAACCAATTCAACCGGAATCAATCTGCAATCATCACCATGAATGAAAAATTCCAGATGTATGGGTGGAGTCTCCACAGTTATCTCTCTGGTGTAATCAACTTGAGCAGTGGATTTCTGACAAGCTTGATCATCATCAGCAGCATCATCCTTTGTCTTAGAGGCATTCAAACTTTCCTCTTCAATTGTTTCGTTCACTTTCTCCACACCCAAATCCAACTTGCAACTTTCATCACACAGAATCTCCACGCTAGTATCACACACAGAACAATCACAAATCTTCTCTGCCTCCTCATCATTTCTATCCAAACCCTGATCAACCTCAAACACCATGTGGCTTCCCTTGTTTTCATTCCCCTGTTCATCCTCATGATGATCAAACACAATATCCGATCTGGTGTGATCTTCATCAATCTCTACACCAACCCCGCGTTCTGTCACCAAATTCTTCTTCTGGTCATACTCCAAAACATTGAGAGAAGGCTTGATCAAAATGCAAGGAGGGTAGAATCTGTTGTCCAAGTTGACACCACAGCATGAACACCTCATAGTCTCTTCCACCTTCACAATTTCCATGTCACTAGCATCAACACTCTCATCCTGATTCACACCCATCTGCTTCATCCATGGAAAGAAATCAAAATTCTGAGAGAGTTTGACATAATCTGGTTGAGATGAGGATGAGCAATCCTCACACATATCTTGTGACTCAGCCAGTTTGAGATGATTGGAGCAGAACCCCAGTTTGGAAATCTCAGAGGCATGAGTTTCACACACAAGATCTCTGCAAGAATTCTTGTTCTTCCCAGACTCTATGATGTGATCGATTCTGCTGCACCATATGCAGGGCCTTTTGAGGCCAAAGTAATCAGCAAACTTTATGATTAGATAAGAAAACAGAGAATTGAGGAGCAGGAGGATGATCAGAATCCATTCTAGGATGGCATAGACTAGAACAAGGGTGATTTTGTTGGTGTTTCTGTGTAACATGGTTGCAAACTTGTTGGCAGCCATGGTTGGTGTTTTGTTTTTTGATATGTACAAAGGGAGGTTTTCCTGGAATATCAGATTGCAACCTAAGCAAGTATTGGAGTGATAGACAGAAAAAGTTTTAAAGGAAAGAGAGTTTTCAGACAAGATGTCAAAACTGTATTTTGGGTGTGTAATGTACGAGAGAGAGTAGAAGAGAAGTAGAAAACTAGTGGTTTTATTTAGACTGAGTGAGAAATAGGCGGTTTGAATTGAATGGAATGATAACCAAAGGAGACTAAGGCCAGGGGGTGGGCGGGGGGGGAGGGGGGAAATGAAATGTTCTTGAGTCAAAGAAAATCAAAGAATTTTATGTATTTTTTGTTCTAAGCATTGGTTATGGAGTGCTTTTTGACAAATGGAGCGTCACAGTTTAACAGTTAAATGGATTCACTATACCGATTAATAGGAGTTGTATACTCGTATCTAACAGTAAAAAAATAGTTTCTCTAGCTAATAAAATTCATTCAAGGAAGTAATATTTTTTAATAAATACTCTTTATACTCACGAACTTAAATATTAACCTTCTGGTCATATGTTTACAAAATATGATTATACCATGTTTTACATTTGTTCCTTACGTCAGACAATATTATTGTAAAAGTGAGGAGTTTTCAGACAGAAAATGTGAAACGGTCCTTGTATAATAACTGCTTTCTGTGGATTAGTGTTTTGGGATGCGGATAGCTTGAGTTTGTAGTGAGTTTTTGTAAGGTCTAGAATTTTCTGTGACTGAAAAATGTTACCATTATTTTGATAATCCTGCCAGCTCGTCTTCAATTTTTCTACTAGGGCAACGAATGAAAGGGCCCACCAAACCACACACATGAGCTGGTGGACCAGACCCAAAGTAAGGGGTGGGGCCTGTTATGGCTGCAGATGCTTGAGTCATTATGTGGGTATGCTTCCTAAGAAACTTTGTTTTCTTTATATGAATATTAATATACCCTCTTTCCAACCAACGAAATCATGTACAAAATCAAACTATGTTTTGCAAGATAGCTGCTTAAAAGTTAAATTTCAGTTATTTTACTTTGTCCAGAAGCCTCCTGTGTGGCAATTTTATTTCACAGGGGTGGCACCTTTTAAGACAAAAATCTGATAATTAACTTCAACAGATGGAAAGCATAGCAGAAAAAAATTTGTCGTTTTCCCCTCCATCAAGACTACGAGTTAGCTTATCTTCAAAACAATAAAACACTATTTGAAATGTGGTACCCCATTACACTAACACAAAAAAAATTATGATTTTAGAAGTAATTTCTATTAAAAAAATTATTTTCAATCATTTTTCTACTCCATCGGGACATTCCAATAGAATTATTATTTTTGTCCTTTTCTCCACTTTAAACTCATGAATTTCTATGCCGAAAATAAACTTGCCTGTGCAAATAAGCAGTTAAATTATACAAGTTTTACTGTAATTTTGTCCTCTTTCAATTAAATTCATGTTGGATAGAGGATGAAAAAACTGAGTGGTTAGGTAATGCAATTGAAACCTAGAAAGAGAAAGGTGGCCTTAAGAAGTAGGAAGTGTTGGCTTTTGTTGAGATCCAACAGGGAAGAGTTTGGCTTCTGGGGGGTGGGCTGCACCGCCACTCACCGACTGATTGCCATGGCACCCTATGTTTTGTAAAATAATGTGATCACAATTCAAAATTTTGTTCCCATACGTTATCACATCCATGTGTACTTTCCAAAATGATATCCATATTTCATATCTCTTTATAAAAGGAATCTATAGCTACCTTGGTGAATGCTATGTTGTGCTTTGGCCCTCCAACAAATTGCTTTTGCTTTAGTCTAGTCTCCACTGCACTACACCATAAGTTTTTCAGTGTTTCTCACTTGGCCCTACAAGTTATAATTGAGCACATACCTCTCCCTTCCCCACCTCCCCACTGCTAATATAATTAACCTAAATTGGGCTGCCATTATATAATTTAGTTAGTACTTTTGCCAGCTCAAAGGAAATATATATCATCACACTTTTCCTCTGTTCACGATATTATTTGAATGCAGATCCTATCCAACCCTTCGCAACTACAAATTAACATCAACATAACAGTATAAGAAAATAATCAGAGAACAATTGTTTGAGTTACCAAACAATTTTTTAAAACAATACGTGTAAAATATCAATATCCTTTTAATAAATTTCAGTGCTTCTTTATTGGCTTCTACTTAAAAGATGCATCAGTTAAATTGATAAACATATACAAATTTATAAGCAGATAACGGTTATGATACACTGTAAAGGAGTAAAACAATTATCCCCATAATCCACTTTGGTGCATCCAATAAATGAATAAGTTAAATTATTCAGCAAAGTTCAAATTAATTCATAAAATGCTTTGTAGAAAATATTAATTTTATTTATATTTTCCATTAAAATATTTGTGAAATTGGGTTACAAAGTATTTGTGTAATTTGAAAGTTAATGAGAAAGGTGTTGGAGTATATGATAAAGAAATGAGGGGTAGATGCGACGCTGGGACCATTTATGATGCATTGTTCAATAGGAAAAAGAGCAAAGTAAACAAATTGGAAAAATAAAACGGTTTTAAATTCAAAGTTAGACCATCTTTCTTGGAAGGAACATCAAAGCAAATTTTTTTTTTTTTTAAGTTAATTAATGGTGGGAGCCCTTAATCGCCCTTTCAATCTTAATTTCCCCCTTTTCTGACCAAAGAACCGTAACTATTTGAAAATGCGAAACAAAAGAATGGATGAAAATGACATTGTTTTGTGTTGGAAGCCCTCACAATTGCTCTTCTTAGTTAATCTTAATTCAATTCCCCTTATTCTGATCAAAAGAGTTTCAACCATCTAGAATGGTAAGGGAAATGGATGTATAAAATAAAACTTGATTAATAAAATAAATTAAAAATTGAAAACAGATCGATAATTGATTTGAATCAATTTTTAATGATTTGCTTCAATTTTAGGTTTAAAAAATATAAATCAAATTAAACAACTTATTGCATTTAAATATAATATTTTAAATATTTATAATCCAATGGACGTATAATTTTCTAATGTTATTATAGGGTTTAGTTATATTTGTATATGGATTATATTTGTATTTGTTATATCGTAATCATAACTATATATTATAGTTTTTAACTATAAAATTATTTAATTTATTAATGAATACGAGAGAAAGTTGAAATTATATATTATCATAATTACATAAAGAATTATAACAATTTTTTATTTAATATTTTTATGGAATATTTAAATAGTTTCTTTTTTTAATAAAAAAACTACAAAAATAATTTAAACAGAGTACATTGATTTGATTTTGTTTATATTTTATATTAAACTGAACTAAAATAAAATCAAACCAAATTATATTTGATTTCTATCTTTAATTTGATGGAATATCCTAAGCAAAAGTAGATCTTAGAAAATTACGTTGTTCTTCAACTTTGCAATTGAGAGGCTTATGAATCCCATACTTCGAACACATGACATGATCCAGAAATTTGATGAAAAATCCACGTGAATAAGGTTGGCTGCGTTGGTCCACTCATTTGTTGAAATAGTCTAAAAAGGTTCTGTTGAAATTTTCAATTTTGGCGATTTAAGCTAAAAAAGAACTCACGAATTGCATTTGTTATCTAATTTTGATCAATTAGAATGGGACCCTTAGGCCTAATCTAAACGGTTTGCGTGGGTACAAAGACACCATCCAACAAAATTTAGATTAATAAAACATAATGAAAGGAACGCTGAAGTATATTTTGCGTAATCTAAACATATTAATCATAAAAATGTACCCTATTTTCCAATTTCAATGATAACTATTGAAACCTTATTTAAGTTACACCATGAAAATAATGTCTTTCGGGGAGGGTACCAGAAATCTATTGCAATTTACTTCTCACTTAAAAAAACAAAACAAAAACGGTCTATTGAAAGTGCTAAATAATATTGAAATCTCGCGCCCGAGTAAACATATAATAAAAATATAATATTATAATAATGATAGTTAAATTTTACTTTAGGGTGTAGGGTTTCCTTTATAAACTGATTTTTAAGGATTGAATTGAACAGATTTTTATTTTAAAATGATATAAAGTCATAATAACGATATTGAAATGAATAACTTATTAATAGATTTGTTATTAAGTTATTAGTTTCGTATTAATTAAAAATATAATAAAATCATATAAAAGTGTATTGAAATCTCATATAAATTAAAAGTATAATAAAATTATAATATAAAAAATTTATAAGTTAAATATTTAAAAAATAGTTAAAAAATATATGGATCATGAAAGGATATAAAATATCGAACACATTACTATAACATTAAAAACTTAATATTAATTAGAACTCGTGGATTGGGTTCCATTGTTTGAAGATAGTTATTATTATTATTATTATTATTATTATTATTATTATTATTATTATTATTATTATTATTATTATTATTATTATTATTATTATTATTATTATTATTATTATTATTATTATTTTAACCTAATTAACTGACGCAAATATCACGTTCTAACTTGCTAAATATAATGCTTTCTTGTGTCCTTGAATTATAGTGAGAGTGAGTTGGAAAGGTTAAATGGGCTACAAAGATGGGAATGCTACATATCTCATTCATTCACTTTAACTATTTTAATGATAAAGTATGAGATCCTATTATAGATTAGATAAGAATGAATAGGTGATGGTTAGAATGTCTAAATCTTTGGTTTCGTGGACATGAATAGAGATTTTTTTTTAAAATTAAACTTATAATGACTAAAATTTATTTTAATTAAAAAATAATTTGTGTATCCGTGAAGGAATTTTTTTTTTTTTTATGGAATTTGTATTATAGTGATTCTTAATATAGTCCCACTTTGTAGAACTTCGAGCCATATGACCCACCACACTCTTATAAATACTAATAAGCTTGACGAGAAAGGTATTGTTATTTTGTCTACACAAACTCTGTAAAATATTTTTTTTTAACTGACTTGACCGTTGGAGTATTTTTGCAGGCACTCCACCATCAGTGCCTAGATTCAAGAACTTGCCTCCTAAGACATTCGAGTTAACATTCTGAGAGATCCAACATAGGTGAGCCAAAGGTAAGGTTAGTGTTCGACCTTGCAAGAACATTGATTGGCGCTTACTGTGGGGTCGGACAAGAACACAACCAACGATATCTACTAGAAACATGATAAATGTAGAAAGGTAAAGCTCATTAACAAGAGGACTAGGTTAGTGATGTTTGTTAGACAACCAACGATATCCACCGTTCCAACGATACACTGCACCACCCACCCAGTACCAAAAAGGCATTTCTTGGAATCACACCAGGTGGGTGCACCCAACTATCGCACACACAAGGTATAAATGATATCATCTCATGTCATCACAAGACGACTTGTTCTCCTTCCAAAACATTAAAGCATTAACCAAGTACTTCCTCATCCTCCAATCCAACCAAGGTATAAAGACAACCAACTAAAACATTTTTAACTAAGTGGGACTAGTGGAGGGACGGAGGGAGGGAGGGAGTGAGTTAGTTTTGGTGGTGCTTGGCTCGATCAATGTTGGTTAACCTCGGTGGCATGTGCTGGTGGTGCCAAAGTCAATGTTGGCTGGTGCTGGTCATGGTCATGGTCGTGGTCCCTTGGTGCTGGTAGCGGTGCCTTTGTGTTTGTCCTGGCTCGGTCAGTTTTGGTGGTGTTGGTCTTGGTGCGCGCAATGGTGTTGTCGAGGTGCTGGTCCTGGTGCCACCGTCAAAATCGTGGTGCTTATGTTGGTGCTGGTCCTGGTGAGCTCTAGCACTGTCAGATTTGACTGGTGCATGGTACCTCGGTCAGTTTGGTGGTGATTGGCTCGATCAGATTTTCCTGGTGCATGGTGCCACGGTCAGTTTTGATGGTGCTGGTGCCATGGTGCTGCTCGTGGTGCTTATGCTGGTGCTGGTCGTGGTGAGTTCTCTAGCAAAGTCAGATTTGGCTGGTGCATGGTGCCTCAGTCAGTTGGTGGTGACTGGCTCGGTTAGTTTTGGCTGGTGCATGGTGCCACGGTCAATTTTGGTGGTGTTGGTCTTGATGCGATGTGGTGCTGGTCCCGGTGCTGGTCCTGGTGCACTGGTGCTGATCGTGGTGCTTATATTGGTGCTAGTCGTGGTGATATCTCTGGCACGGTAAGATTTGGCTGGTGCATGGTGCCTCGGTCAGTTTGGTGGTGACTGGCTCAGTCAGATTTGGCTGGTGCATGGTGCCTCGGTCAATTTTGGTGGTGCTGGTCTTGGTGCGCTGTGGTGTTGGTCCCGATCTTGGTGCTGGTGCCACGATGTTGATCGTGGTATTTATCCTGGTGCTGGTCATGGTGAGTTCTCTGCGACGGTCAGATTTGGCTGGTGCATGGTGCCTCGGTCAGTTTGGTGGTGATTGGCACGGTCAGATTTGGCTGGTGCCTGGTGCCTCGGTCAGTTTGGTGGTGACTAGCTCGGTCAGTTTTTGCTGGTGCATGGTGCCACGGTCAGTTTTGGTGGTGCTGGTCTTGGTGTGCTGTGGTGCTGGTCCCGGTCTTGGTCCTAGTGCCCTGGTGCTGATTGTGGTGCTTATGCTGGTGCTGGTCCTGGTGAGTTCTCTGGCACGGCCAGATTTGGCTGGTGCATGGTGCCTCAGTCAGTTTGGTGGTGATTGGCACGGTCAGATTTGGCTGGTGCATGGTACCTCGGTCAATTTGGTGGTAATTAGCTCGTCACTTTTTGCTGGTGCATGGTGCCACGGTCAGTTTTGGTGGTGCTGGTCTTGGTGCGCTGTGGTGCTGGTCCCGGTCTTGATCCTAGTGTCTTGGTGCTGCTCGTGGTGCTTATGCTGGTGCTGGTCCTGGTGAGTTCTCCGGCACGGTCAGATTTGGCTGGTGCATGATGCCTCGGTCAGTTTGGTTGTGATTGGCACAGTCAGATTTGGCTGGTGCATGGTGCCTTGGTCAGTTTGGTGGTGACTGGCTTGATCAATTTTTGCTGGTGCATGGTGCCACGATCAGTTTTGGTGGTTCTGGTCTTGGTGCGCTGTGGTGCTGGTCCCGGTCTTGGTCTTGGTCTTGGTCTTGGTGCCCTGGTGCTGATCGTGGTGCTTATGCTGGTGCTGGTCCTGGTGAGTTCTCTGGCATGGTCAGATTTGGCTGGTGCATGGTGCCTCGGTCAGTTTGGTGGTAACTGGCTCGATCAGATTTGGCTGGTGCATGGTGCCTCGGTCAATTTGGTGGTGAGTGGCTCGGTCAGTTTTGGATGGTGCATGGTACCACGGTCAGTTTTGGTGGTGCTGGTCTTGGTGCGCTATAGTGCTGGTTCCGGTGCTGGTCCTGGTGCGCTGGTGCCGATCCTGGTGCTGGTCGTGGTTAGTTGGCTGACACGGTCAGATTTGGTGTCATGGGTCAAATTTTATTTTCCCTGTGCCAATTTCATATTGTTTGCACCAATAAACTTAAATTAGACCCCTCAATATACTGGGAAAGTGTTAGGGCATAAAACATCCATATTGAAGCTTGTTTTTAAACTTCGGTATTGCCCGCTTCACATGAAAAATCATAGAAATTCAATACTTTGTCCGATTGAAATGAAATTTGGAGTGTAGCTTGGAAATATTAATATGGGATCGCATACAAAATATCGCATCAAAATTCGATCTCTAGATACCATTTTCCATTTTTCCCGCTTTTCGCATTTTGGCACTTTGAAAAATTAAAAAAAACTCTTCCCATTTGATTTAAATTCCCAACTTTGAGGAACATGGTTATGTTATTTTTATAAGGAATACTGCAAAAAATCGCATCAAAATTCGATCTGTAGGTCCATTTTT